CATTGCACCACTGCTATTCAGACACCAACGGTGCAACAGGGCACCCAGGATCCCTACATTGCACCACTGCTATTCAGACACCAACAGTGCAACAGGGCACCCAGGATCCCTAACAACCCCACCACTCAAAGGCAATGGGAAAAGTGAAGAGGAGGATTTAGGGGAAAGACATAGATGGTTCAAGAGCTTCTCCTCTGTTCTAGCTTCCTCCTCAAGTTCCTAGATATCTTCCAGGTGTCCTTTTAAAGATTTCACACCCCTTTGTAATGGCTGGAAAAAAGTGTCCCAAAAAAAAAAAAAGGGAGAATTGAGGATGGCAATCTCAATCTGTGCTTTAACAGCTACATATTCACAAAAATAGTTTATTATTCACTATAACTTGAAGATTACATTGGTTTTGTCTTAAAAATATTTTTTAAAGATTGGATTGTTTAGTGTCTCTGCTTCACTAGAAACTCTACAAAACCATTGCTACTTTCCTTTTAAAGTTCTGCTTCAGGATTCAAAATAAAGCAGTAATTCCACTAATTGGATTCATGTCTTAATCCACCATGAAACAAACAGCCTCAGAAACGTGAGATTGTATGCCAAGCAGCCAAACTTTGCATTAACTTTACTTGCACTAATAACTGTCGTTTATCTTACTTCACAGAATCGTGCATCGTCTTGCAGATATGCAGAAGAGCATTGAGTATAACAGGATCCTTTGTAGTGATGCCTATAAAACGTTTTAGAAAAAGTGATGAAAAATCCTGCTCTGTCAAAAACAACGAATAACAACAATTTAATGCATAATTCCCATCATCAGCATTGTATAACATGTTTCACATTCACTTTTTAACCATCAGAACTCTAAAGATCACATGGTTAATAGATGTACAATTCCAACAAATGCCAGTCAAGAAATATTATCTTAATACACAGTGTGTTACTGCCAATCTACGTCAAAACAAAGCAATCCTACACCTGACCTATCCTAATACAGTTTTTCAGCTACTGATGGACAGACAGGAAGGATAAATGTCACGTTCAGGGACAAAGGCACACGTGCAGTGGAGCACCACTAAGATGATCAAGGGGCTGCAGCACCTCTCATACGAGCAAAGGCCAAGAGAGCTGGGACTGTTTAGCCTAGAGAAGAGAAGGCTTTGGGGGGTTTAGCAGTGTATATAAATACCTGAAGGGAAGGTGAAAAAGAAAAAAAAATGTTTCAAGGAACCTGTTAATTATTTGAAAAGGACTGTTTGACTTTAACAATATTTGAAGATGAAGCCTCATCTTCTAAGTCAATTTTCAACTGTGGAAATATCCATTTTTCTACATAATGGAGATTGTAACAAGAGATTGTATCTCCTCCTCCCATTATAAAAAGGTAACAGTTCTGTGCTGTCACATCAGCTGAAATACGAAATAAATTTCATAAATTAACTAAGGCAATATAAATTTTAAAAAGCTCAGAGAACTATTCTGTTAACCCACAGCAAGTCAGCATCAATATGACTACTTCAGTATCAGCTTCCTTTGTGACAGTTAGACAGTCAATCAATAGATTAACAAAACTGACACATTTTCTTTTTTTTCCCATAGCCTGGAACACCTTCACAAGCTAAGTGGCCTATACACTGACTCGCCTTCCCTATCAAGCTTTCAATACATTCCCCAGACCCTCCAGAGTGCATTCAATCTCGGTATTCTCCACTTACTTAATAAAAGATTCCATAATGCACTTGCAAACCTCCACTCTCACACTTTCCTTCTGGAACATGTCCAGAAATGGCAAGAATTTCTCCTGAAAGTAAAAATACATCATCAAGTAAAATTAGGCATTTTACAAACAACACCCTGAAGCAATAAATATTTTGGGTAAGTTTTATAATCATGGCTGCTTTAGTTATATTAATATTTTTTGAAGACAGTAATTCATCTTGAAGGATGGAAGAGTGGAACAAGTGGGAAAGCACCAATGGCTGAAAGGTATATCTATTTATTAGTTGCAGAGATTCAGAATAAAACACAAACAATAAAACTGTTTGAATCAAATTTTGCAAATTTTTTAAAAGCAATCATATGCTTGAAATGGCTTAAGATCATGACAAACTGAAATATCTATGGGAACAAAAAGTAAGATATTAAAAACAACGAAAACAGGCCACACGCCAGCAGCCATTTTGCACGTATCCAGGGCAACTTACGATGGTCCAAGACACTCCCATTTTCTTCAAAGATAAGTGTTTAGGGTGTTAAGATATTGAAATATTTAGTTTCTGTATCATCTCAAGAATATAGCGAGGGTAAGTTTTTCAGAATTATTTGAGCAATTTGTGAACAAGACTTGGTTCCAAACCCACAGAGTCAGTTTTTAATTTTACTCTTCAACTGGTTTCAGTACTTTGACACCCGCTGTCTTTGTTCCTCTTTCTCTACCTAACAAACAGTCCCTGACCTCTCTAAATTTCACTTTGTTTCCATGCCAAACCAAAGCCCTATGACAGAGCATGTTAAGTATATATCATAACACAGAAACAGCAATCAGCAATTACACAAACACACCAGAAATAAATGGTATTTTATCTTCCACTGATTGTCACTTATGCCATAGTAACAAACAAACCTAGAGCATCTAACAGCCTAAGGAAAAAAAGTATAGAAAATTGGAATTACAATGACGAATATTTAAGTAGTAAGCAGCAGAGAGGTTCCAAAATGTTTCTGCGCTTATCTACTTGATAAAAAGTCCTCTCAGTATGTGAGCTTGCAAACAACCTAAATATCCAAGGCAGGTAAATTGTCTTGCAGAAACAGTTCGAAATAGTTCTTAAATATTTATTAAACAGAGTACTACTTACCACTGAAAAAAGCAGAGAGAAGTCATAGATGTAGGTAATAACTTTCTGAATAATTGACTGTAGCTAAAGGGAGAAAAAAAGAAGAAAATAAAAAAGGGGAAGATGATTGTAATACAAGTTAAATTAAGACTATCCACACCAGAGATTATTTTTCTCTAGTTATTCATAGAAAACTGGGTTGGAAGACACTTCAAGCATTCATCAATGTAATTTCTTTCCCCAAAGCAAGATCAACTACTGCTATGCTGTTCCTAACAGATGTTTTCCCAACATGCTCTTCAGAATTCATATGAACAGAAACTGACCAGCCTGCTCAGGCTTTCTTTATTTACTTTTTATAGTCAGGCAGATTTTTCTGCTTTATAGTCTGCATGTCCTCAAGCTCTCTAGACTGAAAAAAACCTAAACAATAAACAAACAAAAAATCCCAAAACAGTTTGTTAAAGTTTCTTTTGCAGGCACTTTATCTACCCTCCAATTAACCACCAAAAAACCTTCTTCTAGAACCTCTTCAACTGGCACACAGTCTCAACAACTGGACACGGTAATTCACTGATGTCTTAAAATGCCAAGGGGGGGTTGATTATTTTATGGTCTACTTCTGTTTAAACAGCTTGCCACGATTGCTAATTTTCTGCAGCAGAACACCACTGTTGATGTAGGAGTTAACTGTTGCTACTTCTAGATACATAAATCATTCTGGTTTAGCACTTCTCTGAACTAAAAGAGCAATGTGCACAGAAAAAAGGAGGAACAAATCAAATCACAGCATTACACTGTTCCAAAAAGGTTTCACAAATTATAGCCAGTGTTTTAAAATAACTATTTTGTGGTAAGAGACATCAGTAATATTTAAGAATTAATTTCATCTAAGCAAAGGCACATCATATTTCTACAGATTTGGCAAAATAAATTATTTACCTGTGGGTAAGCATCTTCAAATGCTCGATCAGGAGTCATGTGTTTGATAACATCAGCCAAAACGGTATTGACCTCTCGCTTCTGCATAGTGAAAAATGAGGTTACAAAATACAGCAATGAAATCAGCACATAAATCAAGTCACTGAAAACCTTCTAACAAAACAAAGTAATTTTCACATACCGTAAAATGTCTGCATGTATACTCCACCCACACTTCAGCACAGTTGATATAATCCTAGAAATACATGTCTTATGATTACCGATATTTACAGGAGATTATGAGAAATACACTTGCAAAAAATTACACTTAAAAGAAGTAACTCCTGAGGTATGATTCAGGCAGACCTAAAGATCTAGCACTAATGACAAACTTCAATAGTTGCTTGTGTAGAATTATGTTATGTAGAATTGAGTTATGCCTAAGGAGAGCTCAGAAAAGCACAGGTCATATAAAGATATTACCAGGCATCGTATTTTTTGGGCTACATTGTTTAGGGCTACAATTTTGCCTTAAACACAAAATCAGTAGTGAAACAGAATGGACAATAACTCACCTGTGGGTTCTTCAGCTTTGTTATAACCTTCCAGGCTTCATTTAATATTTGAAGGCGATCATTTTCAGGAGGATCAGCCAAGGCCAAGTTTAATCCCAAAGAGCGAAAGAGAAGATGCTGAAAGTTAATGAGAAATTTTAAATTAAAAGCAGAAGATGCATGTCCGTCCAACACTGTTCTAGCAGGTACACTGTGCAGAAAGATTTTTTCGGATCAAACCACCTTTTATTTAAAAGATGTGCAGGTTATGTAGGCAACTAAGAGTATAAAGAACTCTGCCAGACAACAAACAGGAGTTGTTACGAATTACACACAAAGTTACCTTTGGGAATCCAGATTCATCGCACTCCTTAATCATGCCAATGAAGTCCATAGATCTTGCAGCAATGAACTCTGCTCTGAATGCTGACATTACAGAATTCAACAGCAAAGCACTACAACGAACATAACACAAATCACACAGCTTAACATCAAGTAAAATTCTGTTGTCCCTTCATTTACATTAATCTGATCTCAGACTAACAACTTCCAGCACCTACTTTCAATTTTAAAAAAGGGAAGAAGGAAAAAAACCTGCATTGATGAGGAGTTATTAGTGCATACACAAAACAAAAAAAAACATTAAGCCATCAGATATGGAAAAAGTAACCCGGCCTGTAGAATACTTGTTCCAACACAGGTGTTTTGAAGCCATCATTTTAACAGAAGTTTGCTAGAAAGATCAAGTAAACCAGCAGTAGGTGACATGTTTAGAAACTTTCTCTTTTTAACTACCGTTCAGAAGCATACTTCGGCAGGGCAAATCTCTGTTGAAGTTCTTCTCACTGAATTAAAATATATATTATAAAAGCTGGATTTCTAGCAGCTGCATTGTTAAGATTCAAATAAAGCCAGTCATTAACATACAATAACTGGCAATGACATATCTAGACATTTATGATTAATCATTTAGACCCACATTTGTATTACTATCAAGAGAAAGTTACCGACAGAAGGGTGAAGTCATTGCCCTACTGTAAAACCCTGTTTACTGATACTATTACACAAACATAAGAAGCAAAATCCAGTATCATTCAAAAGGCAACTCCTTTGGGCAAACTCAGCCATGAATTAGCAGAGAAGCTGCCTCATAAAACCGTGTCCTTCACTAGCCTGAAACAGTCTGAATATGGGGCAGTTTACCGTGAGGGAAATTTTATAGAGCGCTTAAAATAGCCCAGCATCCTCTGTGCTTCTGACTGAGCATTACTGGCCCCATCGCAATTTGATGGGAATTTTCATGTCATCATTAGACAAGTACTTCCACTTCACTAGGGATATGCTTTGCAATACAGAGAAGCAGGCTGTCACTTTTCACTTAAATGGCTGCAACATAGTTCATGGAATACACTATTATTTAAAGATTTATATAACAAAGACATGTCCCAAAAACATTTACTTAAAAAAACCTCTCATTATACTCAACATTTTGTCCTTCCTTCAAAGAGTAAACAGACACAAGGAGGAGGCATCTAGCCAACCTTTGCAACGAGAAATGCTAAAAGGTGATTTAAAAATAAGTTTGACCAAACAAATCAACACCTACAGAAAATCATTAATACAGCAGAGTACATGGATTATTTTTACTGGTATTATACACTCTGATACAATAGTATCTTCACCTTCAGACTTTCCCCACACCCCTTAGCTCAGTCACAGAATGCTAATGCTGGCGTTCCTCATCTAAGTGTTTAACATATTGCAGCTCCTCAGCCACTGCAGAACTGGACTGTGCAGAGAAGCACATCAGCAAAAAATAGGTAGCTGAAAACTTTCCCAGAACTCAGCCTACCTACCCAATAAAATGAACTGAGACTAGCTCATCAGCAAGCCAAATTGCTCAGAAGCACATCCAAAACTTTCAGACCATCTTCCTGAACTACTCACTAAATATGATTAGCCTGAACAGACTTCTGGGAGACATTTGGGATACTCATTTTGACACTGAAAAAAAAAGGAGTTGCTTAAATGTTACGATTTTCCAAAGGGGTCAGCTGCTTTACAACTTCCCTTGCAAAATGCATATAAGGGCTGGCTGTAGCCAGGGGAGGCCAGAGGGAAGGAAGGCGAGGAAAACAGAGAAAAATGAAGTACAACCAGGACTCACGGACATGGCTGATGGAGAACACATTACGTGTCCTAAACTTTAGCTTAGGAGCCAAAATGCAGCAACCAAATTAATTTAACTTTTGCTCTACAAGTAATTACCATATTTTAGAATTCATCTCTGGAAAACAGATGTTCAGAATCATGATTTAGTAAGCTACTGGAGGAACAAAATCTATACTATGCGACCAAAAAGTGTTTTCAAAAGGGAGAGAGACTTTTATTGCAGGGACTCACGGGTACTCATTACAGATTCACATCTTCTACACTGTGCAATACTTACTTGTTTCCCAATTTTTTGCATCTCTCCATCATCTCAGTAAGCAGAACCTGGAAGAATTACTTATTAAAATTAGTGAGTAGAGACTCTGTAAATAAATTCAGCCTTAATTACTGCAGTGAAGTCTACTAAAAGCTGTTTTAATTACCTACCAATATATTCCAACAATCCTGGCTTATCCTCTATTTCCAACACATGAAAACAATGGTGCAGTACAACGTAAAATACACTTGCTGGACTAGGTACAGTGGCATTTTAATCACAACCACCATTTTATGGAAGTCAAATTTGTAATCCTTCAGCCATGCCATTTCTCAAAATAATTACTAATTACACCAAGGTCAACTACCTTTGGCAAGAGAGGTGAAGATTACCAACTCTATGCCACAGAATGCAGAACAGACTGAGATTAAAAGAGCCTGTTACCTATGTTAAGCAATTATAAAGCTACAGTCTACTCAAATCATTTTTCTATCTGTATGGCTGAAGAAACTAATGAATTCAAGAAATAAAGATTAAACTAGCTAAAGTACAGCAAGAAACAGGAATACTGCCTATAAATTTAATCTAATTTGAGCTTTGTGGAAATGAACATTCTTCCTGTCTAGAAAAGAGAAAGTGTCTTATCTATGCTCTTTATACTTGCTTTCACACCCATGTAAGTACTGACTGAGGGGGTTTTTTTAATAGGCAAAATTAACTCCCCACCCCAACACTTCCTTTAGTTTCAAGCATTACCACGCCTACTTACTTCAGGAGCACGGTATGCAACACACTGCAAAATCCAGTCTATAGCAGGAGAATATAGAGTCAAATACAAAGGAATCTCCACACACTGTACTACCAGCTGATTCTGAACCGTATCCCCATGAATCTGTTGAAATAAAAGACAAAAACATGTTGCTGTGAGAAGGTATTTAACAGGAACTATGACAAACTGGACAAAGTTTGTACATGAATGGGAACAACAGACATGATAACAAAGATACACAGACATTCTGAAGCATTCCTTGCATTCTGGGGAAAAAAATATCAAGCTCATAGCATGTATTATTAAAGTATGGACACATGCTGAACAGAGCAGTTTCAACTTAGCATGTATGCGATATTTTCCGTACTATATCTTGGTACAGGAACATCCCTAAATCTAGATTTAAGAACTTCAAAGATTTTTAAGAAGTATGTCGCAGTTTGTTTAAAGAGTGTATTTATGTAGTTTTCCAAATAAAAAACCTATTTGCTTACTTGTTTAAAGGTTAGAAGAAAGTCAAAGAAATTTTTGTTAAGGCTTTCTTTGAGTTGTGGTGCCACTTCCATCCCAACCTATATTAAAAGAAAAAGAAAGATTTTATCTGCATCTATCACATCCAATTCTCCATCAACGGTAACACAAAAATGCATCTTCTGGAGGAGCACACCTAGTCACACACATCAAATCAACAAACAGCATTGAATCACATGCTCTTGACTATTTCCTTGCTTGCTATTACAGTCATCTCCACCAACAACTACCAAACAAACTCATTGCATTTCATAATGGCAGCTGACTTGGCGCAAGGATTGCTAATACCAGCTCTACCATTTTCCCTTTATAGTTGAGATCTTTGCCATTACTTCAGAAACTTATTTAACAAATAATTTTTCACTATTGATGACTTTTTGAATCATTTTAGGGTCTCTTCTTGAGTAAGTTTATCTTGGCTGAGCTGTTAAGGTAACTGCGGGAGCAGCTGAGGATAAGAACATGGCCACACTGCACAGTCAGACAAAAATCCACTGTCTGAACGCTTTATCAAGTGGCTCCTCTGCCAAAGAGCTTGCCAGCTCTGCCTGCAACATATACTCTAGCAGTAGAAGGATGAAGATAAATATAGTGAAAGTGAATATATTAACTATGAAAAGTAGCACCTAGCAATCAGACAACAACATGTAGTCTCAAAGTCCAAACCCTCCTTCCATTAGATCCCTAACATTTTGCCCATGATGAAGATGAAAAACTGGCTTAAGCAGCACACAAAATTATTTTTACTTATTATAAACACTTGAATATTGATTCCCCATTATTAAAACAAAAGAGAAATTTCATTTTTTGGTTTGCTAGAAGGAAGAGACAGGCTGCCAACTACTTCAAATAAAACATTAGTCAAAAGAAATTTTCCTTTAGTGGCAGAGCTAGCTGCAGTAAGATACAAATCTGAAGAGTTATCTGTTGCCTACCCTGCAAAGGTACGCTCTTGCATAGACTGCAACCAGTGGATCTCCAATTCCTCTAATCATAGATGTTAACCGTGGGAGACATTCCGAAATCCCGCTGTTAAGATTTTTCAGAAACGAAAATGAGATTTAACAATTGATAACAGAGTTATACCACCTGGAAATAACTTCAGTAGCTGCCTTGTAGATTGACAATTGAGCATGAGTTACGGAAACACCTACCAAAGATGAAGCACACTAGCACAAAATTTTGTTTCAGAAGCAAAATTTTATGTGTACAGTAATACATGTATTCAAATTGCGGTATTTGCCATTAGGAGCAGTACAGATAGCCAGGTTGGATGCTTGACTTGTAAAAGACAAGTGTAACTAAAACACTCCTCCTCTAGTTTGGAGAAGGAGCAGAGCTCTAGAAGAGCTGTAATGCAACGTGAAGACAGTATCTGCTTAAAGCAGAACTGGTAGAACTCCTTGTATGTCTCATTTTCCCACAGGTCCTTTTTGACAGAGCTGTACTAGTGCTTGGAGATGAGGCCCATCAATTCCAGGAAAAGAACTGCTTTTTAGGGATAATGAAGTTTTCACTATAGTAGCAATTTGACTTATAACAATCATTTCAAAATATAACAGAAAAAGGACAATTACATGTGAAGGAACATTTTTAGCTCAGCAACTGACACTGTTTGGCAACATACAAAGCTTACAAATCTTGCTTCCCCCTCCACCATCTGAAGCCACTGGTTTTTAATTTCCAAACTCCTGATGTCACAATTATACATACATTCCAAAACTGCAAGCACTGTTGCATTCCAAACTGTACCACGTTTCACCTTGAACTGATTCCATGGCATTCTCACTAGAAACTCCAAAACCTCTCATTACTGCTTCTTCTCAGATCTACTGAGACCCCATCCACCATTAATCACAGAACTTGCATGCTTAACTCCTTAAATTAGTTTATAAGCCTGCCCATTCGCTTCCTTCCCATACTTAACATTTACTCTTACGTTTTGGATAAGAACTTATTGCACTTCAGTATTGCTGCTTCCACGTAACTAAAATGAAGCCAAGTTAAGGAACAAAACTAAGATGCATGCCATTTAAAAACAGCAAACTCATACACCAAATACATATCGAACTATTTCAAGGCCTTCTGTAATTAATCTCACTACACGTTGTTGGTTTTTATGATTTATCTACAAGATTTTTATTGTTTCAAAAGTTTTCACACATCAACTCTATCACTGCCACGCTGCTCATAGCCAATAATTCAGCATTCAGGTTACTGTGAAATATGACTCAATATTAAATTTGAAACATACAGCCTGAAACAAACAAAAGAAGGTCAGTATAAACATCAGATGGTTGTGGGTTTTACTGAAACAAACATATTCATTTTTTGAAAAGTCTATGAAAAACCTGCAGACACACTCTGAGAGTCCCATTTGACAAGGATACAATCTGGGAATGAGTTCTCTGATGGAAGCAATCTTGAAAAACCAGTTTAAGCAAGTTTCTTTTGCCGTATCATTAACACTCTCTGGAGAAAAATTATCTGGTGAAAAAACAACAAACCAGAAATAGTGACATTCTTTCCGGAAACCAGCTACTTTTCACTCTAGGTTTAAAATTGTATTCCGCTTCCCTTCAATAAGAAATTAGATGCACCACAATAAACTAGGCAATATGTTGACTTCTCAGCTCTCTCTTGCAGCAGTAAGAGCTGAGTACACAGGCAGCAAGAAGAGGTAACTAGAGCTTGCATATTGCATTAAGTAACATTTCAGAAGCTGCAGTCAAGCACCCAAAGCTAATCTCAAATCTGCTACCTGGAAATCTAACCTCTGCCTCCCCCTAAAAGCAGACATCGCAAAAAAATATAGGGAATTATAACAAATACATGTATATATATCTATAACAAATGCATACATATAAAAGATTCAAACACTCAATTCTTTACTTTAAAAGGCTCATGTAATTTTTAAAGAATACTATTTAAAACTGTATTGCAAGAAGTAGGAAATATTAAACACTGGTGGAACACTTGTTTTTGTATGCTAAGCATCTAACACTGCAGTGCAGTTCTCTCCTCATGAGCTCTGGGACTATTTGTGTCAGCTGCCAGCAGGAAAACGCTGCCACCCTGGGGTGGAACAGATGGGTTATGGGGACAGTGCTCTGGTCAGGCAGGGATGCAGTTCCATGGCTAACTGC